TCAATATTTGCAGTATTTCATTTACATTATGGAGTCATTTATCAATAGACTAGAATTTTTTCAGGAGACAGTCTTCTCTGAGGTTATAATTTCCCTCTAGTTATTTCTCACAAAATCCCTCCAAATTTCATGGCTGCTTGCATAAGTAGTCTAAAAGATATTTGGCACTCAGCCTGGACCTTGAGCATGAATATTGTTATCTTTTCCTTGATCCTTATTGCCTCCTGATCTGAATATGTATCTGACTGTTCCCACAGGGCCAAATCATAACTTTCATTGTTCCTTCTAAGAATGTTATTAGATTGGGATTACTTACCAAAGTCTGTGAGAAATAATATTTGATTATTGTTTTAATGACTTATTATTAGCATAAAAAGTGTCCCAGTAACACCTTTCACTGTAGTTCGCCTTTCTGTTGGAGGTCAAGTTCTGAGGACACCTCAGGCAGAATGTGACTGAACACTCAAACGGAAGTAACTCTGGTGACCAGCCTGCTACATGGAACTCTTCTGTGGGAGTTTTGCCAGTGATCAGTGCAATGAAATGACTGGGGAGCTGGACGATGGTTACAGAAATTTTGAGATGAAGGTTTTGTCTAGTCTGGTGTCCTTCTGTGTACTGATAGAGAAACTGAGAGCCAAGCTAGTGAAGTAATTTGCTCAGAATCATTCTCGTTATGCCTTCTGACATCAAGAACCTTATTTTTTCTACCTTAGTGCCTCCTTTAAGAGCCTTGCTCGAAGAACCATTATGTGCTTTCTGGTTAAAGTAACTTACTCCGCTATCTAATTATGCTGTCATTTGGAAGAGCTGCTGATTTTTGTCACTTAGTCCAGTCAGCAAAGCTTTGATTCCTGCCTTTTATATCTTTGCCTGTGCTTCAGTGAGCAGAGGGTAGAGGTGACCTGATAGTCTCTTTTACTGCAATTTGGGAGTTTTAGTGAAGAGTAATTAAAAAGCCTGATAGGTATGGTTTTACTTGAACTGTAAGTAGTTTAGGTATTATTTCTTAGAGTTCTTTTTTATAAATTGATAATATAACTTTTAATTACTATGAAGCAGTTTCATATATATTATGAAACATCTCCATATATATATTTATGGAAAGAGAGATAGAGGGACAGAGACAGAAATTGTGAGACCCTTCAGTCAATTTTATTTTTTATTTTAAAGATTATTTTTTCAGAGAGAGAGAGAGTAGGGTCAGGGGGAAGAGGGAGAGAATCATCAAGTAGACTCCCCGCTGAGCACGGAGCCCAACATGGGGCTGGGTCCCACCATCTTGAGATCATGACCAAAGCTGAAACCAAGAGTCGGACGCTTAACCAACTGAGCCACCCAGGCGCCCCTACCCTTTAGTTAATTTAATGTAATTTAATTTAAATTTTTTTAAAGATTTTTTATTTATTCATTCATGAGAGACAGAGAGAGAGAGGGGCAGAGGGAGAAGCAGGCTCCCAAGGAGCAGGGAGCCTGATGCGGGACTCGATCCCAGGACCCTGAGATCATGACCTGAGCCAAAGGCAGACGCCTAACCATCTGAGCCACCCAGGCGCCCCCTTTAGTTAATTTTAAAGTAATGAAAATGAAAAGCTATTCTTGAATGAGATGTGAAAGTGATAGTGCATCTAGAACTTTTCTTTCAAGATAGATTTACAGCTACACTTAACAACGTTTTTCTGGGCATCTCATCAGACTATTATTTCATAACATCATCCCTCCTTTCTCCCCTTCTCTGGCCTCCAAGTCCCTCCACTGTGAGGGGCCATCTTGTTGCCCACACTAATCCCTGTGTTTGTTATCTGGAGAAAGATCTTTACCTTGTCATTACTTGAGGGGGGTAAAATGAGCGCTGTCATCACCAGCCTTAGCTGCCCTACAGGCAGGATTAGTCGTTGTATCCATGGTAATTAAAATGAAGCTTTTTAAATTTTAATTTCTAAAAGTAGCTATTTAATTCACTGATACAAAAGTCAACCTGTCGGTGAATTCAGCACAGTCTGAAGTGTTATGAGACCATAATTTAAAGCTGGTATATAATGCTACATAGACCAGCTTTAGCAAGTGAGTTTCATGTTCGATTTGTGGAAATCTGGCACCAATGGAGCTGACACTGGTCAAAATTTTTTAATAAACTTTATTTGTATTTGATTATTCCTTTAAGAAACTTAAGGCCTACTTAGTGTTTGTGATAATACATTTTTTAGATCAGCCTATTTAAAGAGTACTTTAAATGAAAGGGTACTTTTTTTTTTACTAATTGTATCCCCTCAAACACACAGATTATTATGCTTCATCACTTAATATAAAGGAAGCACTTTTTGAAGTCTTCTCTACCCCACACCTGGACCTGCCCATTAGGCTTATCTAGTGTTGGTTTCTTAAGAAGATGGTATCTTTTTTGATATTATCAAAAGGTTTGGGGGGAAATGGTTCTCTTTTCTGTCATAAGGTTTGATGCCCAAAATGTAGCTTGAAGAAAATTACTGTTGTCATTTCAGTGCATATTATTAAATCAGATACAAATAAAACACTTTCTAATATGTAAAACTCTCCCCTGATTTTTCTACTTTGCTGCATAACCTCTCAGTGCTTTTCAGTTCTCCTGGTACTCTTACAAATTGGCTCCATACTCTCTCCAGTATTTTAAGAGCATTAACTCAGAGGAGAAGCGTAAATTCGCAGCAGAGGTGCTTGGTGCTCCCTTGTGAAGCGTTCGTTGCCAAACAGGTGAAGTCAGCACTTTCGTCTCATCTTCCTGTCAGTAGTAGCAGCAGCAAGATCCGCAGTTGTATCACTGCTTCTGCTAATGTCACTACCACCTCCACGGCCACTCAGAGTCAGGGAGAGGTTCTCCAGGGGAAGAAGTGGGTACATTGGGCTGGGAAGTAGAAAACTGTAGCCACTGCAGTGCTTTCTGGTATATGTGTGCTATATATAATTTTGTTATTATATAAAAACATATTTTACTATATATATTATAACTCTAAATAATATAAATATGTGTAAACATCTTATATAAGTATACTGTATATAAATATATGGCTCTATATATATGTGTTACCATTATAATATATTTTATAATATAATATACAACTGCTGTGTATGCCTTACTCCCCACTCTTCTGTTCTCCATATTCTGGCTATACCTTTTATTGCGTTTTACCTTCCCAAACATTTCTTTTTAGGAGACTTCTCAAGAACCAGATTTAGATTTTTATTTTTTTTAAAGATTATTTATTGAGAGAGAGGAGCAGAGGGAGTGGGAGAAGCAGGCTCCCCACTGAGCAGGGAGCCCGACATGGGGCTCAATGCCAGGACCCTGGGATCATGACCTGAGCTGAAGACAGATGCTTAATGGACAGAGCCACCCAGCACCCCCCGCCCTCCCGCCAAATTAGATTTTTAAAAAACCCAAAACGCCAAAGTTGAAGATGGACATGCATTAAAGAGAGGTCACCATATTCTTTCAATACTTCAAGGCTGTTTTTCCTTCAGTGCTTCTTGTGACTCAGTACAGGGATTTTTACTAGAAAGTAAAGTGAAGCTACAGCTAGGACTAAGCCTATGGAATGTAATGCTCACATTCCTAAGGTGATGACCGCTTGTACTACAGTAAAGATTTATTTTTAAAATAAGTTTTATTAAATATGTACGTGCTTTTAACATGTTAATTTTTAATCATGTGCAGTAACTTGTAAGTGTGCTCTGAAGAAGGTTGTATTAATTTTTGCATTTTATAAATGACCAAAATGAGGTATAGATAGTGTTGGATGGAATCATAAGCAAGTTTGTAATGTAAGTGATGATGATGAAAAAGAAGTTGAGGTCATTTGTTAGGTGATGATAAGATTACTTTAAATTATTAATGTGCATTTGTTTGTGGAATGATAAGAATATTACTACTGCAACCATTAGAATGAAAAGTAGATAAAGTGGGAGTAGGCAATTGGAGAGACAGAAGTTGAATTTCTGAAACTACAGTGTTTTTCAGAGAGCAAATGGCTAAAAATGTCTGCATTTACTGAATAGAGACACATACCCTACATATTAGAGACAAAGGAAACAAATGATGTGGCCTGCTTTACCTATTTTCTGCTGATAAGTAAAATTGAGCATCACTACTGTGAGAAGACATATGGAAATACAGCACATGGCAATAGAATCTCGAATTCTTTTGTCTGCTGCTGATGAACAGTTGAAATGTAGTCATTATTGGAAAATTGACCAGTGCTTCCATTACAAATCCCCACGCGTCCCTCTTTATTACATTCTAGGTCTCATTTTTGTTCTACTTTCTCTTGGTTCTACCCTCTTACCTAGCCCTTCATTTGCATTTGTTAAATGGATTTAAAGATACGAAATTTTAAGGAAAAGTTTCCTTCAATTGTGATATATGATACTTGGAAATGTACATCCTAAAGCAAGTGGCGACCTGGATTGACTTTCCTTAGTGGAGTTCTACCACCACCCCCTTATTTTATTTTTTGTGGTCTTCCTCTGGTGGCGTTGTCGTCATCATTGTCATCATGATCATGTGAATCTTTGGGAAGTTTCCTAGCTACTTAAGTGGAATTCACTATTTAAAAAAATGTGTTCAGTATAGTTCTCCTGATTTTTCCCTATTATTTTTTCCTTGAAAATCCCTCACAGCTACAGTGCTATCTGAAATCTATGTTAGACTGGTTCCTTATAGCTTGTGTCTTTTTTTTTTTCTCCTGCATGTTAATCCTTGGTTTCCCATGAATTTCATTTGCATTTCTTCTTTTCTCTCATGAATTTTTATTTCTTATTTTTCCCCCAAATCAAGACATTTATTAAGAGACCAAAATACTATAGAGTTTATATGCATTTGATTATTTGTCATCTTTAATGTCAGGAAGGTTGCATTTTATTTAGTTGCAATATGTGATTAGCTGTGCATAAATACCTAAATACCCAGAATAACTGTGTATAAACTAGTTTACTATTGCTGAAAGCTTCTTTCTTAATCTCTCCAGGAAAGAAAGGAGAGGCTATCCAAATTTGAGTCTATTCGTCATTCAATTGCTGGAATAATTAGGTCTCCAAAATCGGCACTGGGCTCTTCAACAGTAAGTAGGATGAACTCTATGTTCTAGCTTGTTTCTGATAAACAATGAATATCATATGTAAATTTGTCCTTACAAATAGAAAACTAAGTACATAATATAATTTTTACATGCATATGAATCTGTTCATACATGTATATAGTAAATTCCACGTAACATTGATATAGGGAGGAAAGAAATAAACTTGTATTCTGGACTTTCTGTACTACATATAAGTAATTATAGGAAACATTTTTGTTATTTTGAGGCTTTATATTAGAAGAAGAGCATAGACAAAGTTTTTTCCAGTGAAACAATTTTTATAATAGGGACTATTGTATATGTATTTTTAAAATGTATCAGTTTATATGTGTGTTCATATTTTTGAGAACATTTTAATTATTAAATTGAAGTCTATTTGAAATTTGGGTTTGGCATGTCACGGTGCTGCACAAAATATTACAAATCCCTGGTAACAGCAGCTATAGCCATGCAAGATAAAGTATATTCTTTTTCCCTTTATATAGTAAAATTCTAAAATATTTTTCTTACTTCATTACCTTTAAGACTAAATTAACAAACTTTTTTTCCTAGCTATCCCTCATGCACAACAGAGCTTTAGAATGATAATGAATGATGGTCAAAACAACAATATTCACTACAAATATAATTATGTGCTCTGCCTCAATCTTTACGAGTTTCTACATAATAATATCCTTATGTTATTTCTTACTCTTTTAAAAGTTCAGCTGCTTAAAATAACATGACCTAGTCTTATTTAGAAAAACAAGGTGTTTCCTAACCACAGATTAGTTAAATGTCCATTCACATTTCAGATTTATTTCCTATAATTCCTTTTTAATATGTAACACATGTTCCCATATTTATTCCACTCAAGCAACACTCTTTTATACACAATTGAGGCAAAGCATCAGGTATTTTAATTAACAAAAAAGAAGAAAATTTTATTTTCATATAAAAGAGATTTTCTACTTCAGTGTTAGCCTTTGATGCTGCTATTATTACTTCTGACCTCCAGAAGTGATCTATGGCAATAGGGAGGGGCTGTGAAGTAATGCAGACCATCTCCCCTGGCATTGAATAGCAAATACAAAAATAATAATTTTAGGCAAAAACTACATGGTAGAGTAAGTCTCTTTTAAGGCCCTATCCTAATCTTGTTTTCTTAAGTTAATGATTTATAACTTCACAGATAAATAGTAGTTTATTGGACTTGGTTTATTATGATTTGACATTCAAAATAAAGTATGGGAGGCTTGATTAGGAATCCATGATATATTCTAGAGACTATGAGGACAGGTTTTGATGACTTAGAAGAAAAGAAAAAGAGTTCTTGAAAAGAAATATTTATTTATTTATTTATTTTTAAAGATTTTATTTATTTATTTGAGAGAGAGAGAACGAGAGACAGAGAGCATGAGAGGGGGGAGGGTCAGAGGGAGAAGCAGACTCCCTGCTGAGCAGGGAGCCCGATGCGGGACTTGATCCTGGGACTCCAGGATCATGACCTGAGCCGAAGGCAGTCGCTTAACCAACTGAGCCACCCAGGCGCCCGAAAAGAAATATTTAAGAAGTTTTTTAAAAAAGAAAAAATGTTCTTGAAAGCAAATGTTCAAGTGTGTTCTTCTTCAAAAAATAAAATCAGTTTTTTTTTTAAAGATTTTATTTATTTATTAGAGAGAAAGAGATCACGAGCAGTGGGGAGGGGCAGAGGGAGAAGCAGACTCCCTGCTTAGCAGGGAGCCCAACATGGGGCTTGATCCCAGGACCCTGGGATCATGACCTGAGCCGAAGGCAGATGCTCAACCGACTGAGCTACCCAGGCGTCCCAAGAAAATCAGTTCTTAAAAAGAAATGTTCACATACCTCAGTTAGCACTTCATAAAATTATTTAGCATAAAATTATTTAGCATATAAGTCAGTGAAACACATGACATTGTTAAGTTGTCATAAACTCACCTTTATTTCACTTAGTCAGAGGTCTTTGTGCCAGCAACTAGTAGCAGTTCATCAGTGAGCTGATTTATGAAAGGTGCTTCCCCTGCCCAATTTTCCTTTAGTCAACTCTCTTAAATACTTGAGAACGAAGGCCTATTATAAACTCAAGGTTATCTTCAGCTTTATTCTTCGGTGTAAAATTAGGAGAGTGGAATTTAGAGCTTCAAATGTTAGCTAGTGACAGAAAAATAATATAATATTATAAGAGTAGGAATGGGATAACACTCCTAATGTTTGTTTTCCCGACAATCTGGGATGCCTAAGAATTTTGTGCCCTCAAGACAGGTGTCTAGGAGTACTGCAGTGGTTCTGAGACTTCATGTCACATACATCACTTTGAAGCTCATAGTTATGAGAACTTCAGCTTTTGGCTCTAATGGAGCCTGTTTTGATAATCAGGTTGATCAGAGGGTGAGGGAGTTTTTTTCCTTTATGTATGTAAAGACACGCTCATTTACATGTAGAAACAAAAGAAGTCCAGTTAGTACAATGTGATGAAGTTATACATGGTTGGCTATCCTAAAATTATGTCAGGTATAATATGCACAATCTTAATGAATTAATGGTACAAATCTTAACTTGTTAAAATTTGAAGTTATTTACATGTTATCGTCTCCATTTAAAAATGGACTTTATTTTTAAATAAATTTACCAAATTGACAGTGACTGATATAGATAAAAGTTTGGTGTTAACAAACTGCTTTTAGCTGAAATGAATTGAAGTGCCTTTCCCACAAAGCATGTATCTCGTTCAAATATACATTGTGATTTATTTGTCATAAATTATCAGTGTCCTTGAAGCTATGAAATGCCCATTTTTTCTAAGAAATTGTTCCCTCTGTAATTGAGAATTCTAGAGAATGTTTACTTCCTCAAGGCCCAGTTGCTCTATTTGTATCTTCATGCTGAAGGAGATCACTACTTCTATCAGTGAAGTTCTCCTTGGTATTTCCTGATTTATTTAGAAATCTTATGAACCAAAAAGACTGAGGTAGTCTGCGGTTTATGACACTATTGTTCACTGTGAATAAATGTACACAACTTTTTCTGTAAATCATTTGGTATCCTACTTATTTGGAGAAAGGGTTTCTCCCTCAGATGTACAGGTAACTGAGGCCTTGGGTCTTACTATGAGTGTGAAGGTTTCAGGTGTTAAGTACGATAATCTAAGAAGTATAACAATGTAGAGACTGCTTAGTCATAATTAAAATTTTTTCTGACACAATATAGTATTTTTTAGAGTATTCTAATTTGGTAAATGTAAAATAGAATTTTTTTTATTATTCTAAACAATTTTTTTCTCTATAAAAAAGCTTAAAATAGGGCGCCTGGGTGGCTCAGATGGTTAAGCGTCTGCCTTCGGCTCAGGTCATGATCCCAGGGTCCTGGGATCGAGTCCCACATCGGGCTCCCGGCTCAGCGGGGAGCCTGCTTCTCCCTCTGACCCTTGCCCCTCTCATGCTGTTTCTCTCTCGCTCTCTAAAAAATAAATAAAATCTTTAAAAAAAAAAAAAAAAAAAGCTTAAAATAAACTTGCCAAAATGGCATAGTTAAGCATATTCAAAATATTTTATGGTGATATACCTCACGCAACATGAAACTCACCATTTTAAATTGTACACTTAGTGGTTTTTGGTATACTCACTATGTTGTGCAACCATCTCTACTGTCTGCTTCCAGAACATTTCAGTCTCCCTAATAAGATACTCCATACCTAGTAGTAGTTAGTCTCAACTCCCTCCTTTTCCCATTTTCTGGCAGTCACTAACCCACTTTTGATCCCTAAGGATTTGCCTATTCTGGACATTTCACATAAATAGAATCATATAATATGTGACCTTTTGTGTCTAATTTTTTCCAGTTAGTATAGTGTTTTCAAGGTTCATCTGTGTTGTAGCATGTGACGTACTTCATTTCTTTTTATGACTGAATAGTGTTCCATTTATGAATTTATCACATATTGTTTACCCATTCATCAGCTGATGGCCATTCGGGATGTTTCCACTTTTTGGCTATTATGAATAATGCTACAGTGAACATTGATATACAAGTTTTTACGTGAACATGCATTTTCATTGCTCTCTGTTATATACCTGGGAATTGCTGGGTTATATGGTGATTCTATGTTTAAGTTTTTGAGGAACTGCCAAACATTTTTCCACAGTAGTTTCCCTGTTTTACATTTCCACTAGCAGTATATGAATATTCTAATTTCTTTACAATGTCATCAGTGCTTATTATTTTCTGTTTTTTAAAATTATATTACTAGTGGATATGAAATGATGTATCTTTTATTTGCATATTCCTAATGACTACTGATGTTGAGCATATTTTCATGTACTTATTAGCCACTTGTATATGTTCTTCAGAGATATGACTGTTCCTTTTCTTTGAACACTTTTTAATAGGGTTGCTTTTTAATTCTTGAGTTATAAGAGTTCTTTACATTTTTTGGATACAAGCCCCTTAACAGATATATACTTTGCAAATGTTTTTTTTTTTTCTCATGTTATGGACTGTCTTTTCACTTTCTTGATAACGTCATTTGACAAAAGTTTTTGACAAAGTCCAGTTTATCTGTTTTTCTTTGATGGCACATGTTTTTGGTGTCATAGCTAAAAAACCATCATCTAATCCAAGATCATAAAAATTTTCACCTTTATTTCCTTCTGAATGTTTTATTGTTTTAACTTATACATGTAGGTCTTTGATCCGTTTTTAGTTAATTTTTGTATATGGTGCACGGCAGAGGTCCAGATCCATTCTTTTGTATGTGGAAGCATATTTAATTTAAAACCTTAAAAAGGCAACAGCTGTGAAATCACTGTTTCATTATTCAAATGAACATATAAAAATTGGAACTTTAAAGCATAATTTTAAATAAAATGAGGCAATTAATTGTATTATACATAGGGAGATGAAACTAGAATTAATCTTAATATTATTCCTATTGGACTTGTCATAGCTGTTTATTTCAATATTTTTAATAGTGTGGCTAAAATGTA